ATGTAGTAAAAATTCAAATTCAAGCAGTAAATTTATAAATTGAGAAAGCAGTACTAGCCTTTTTATTCATTCGCACAAGAATTCTATCCATACTCGCACAGCTCGCCTAAGAATAATTGTTTAAAAGAATGATTTTATGTTTCAAGCTTTCAATAACAACAACTCTAACTAACGATAACAAGTTTCCAACTTTTCTTTAACCCGGTTGGAATGGAGTTATACTCTATACTAAACTAACCAATGCAAATGACTAAACACCACAATTCATAAAATAACAGCATGAGTAAGAAAAGAGCACCAACGGTACCCAAACCGGATTAACCCAGCTTAACACTGGATTATTTATTCTTTTGAAGACTATTATAAAGCCAACGAAAGAAATATTTAAACACAAAAAAGTCGAGAGACAAACCCAAACCAAAAACAATTCAATTATGAAAAAAGGACACAACCATAAGTAACATAAGAAAACCCAGAAAAACCACCATATAATGTTACCACAAAACATGAACCCTCAAAGAACCAGCACGAAATCAAACTCCCACTCCTGGCCTAACCCACCAGAGAGGACGTCCTGAGCATGCTCTATAGCCGGCCTAACCCACCGCGCTACGTCCACGCTTTGTGACCACACTTCTGTTTTCAATAAGAGGTACTCAAGGGTGAGTAACTCTTCAAAATAACTGAATTAAAATAAAAACGCTTTTGTGAAAACAATTAACCAAGATCATAACAAAAAAAAACAATTAACTAAAATCTATAAAATGTAATTCATAATATGCAGTATATAGATCACACACGACAACAAGGACGAATATCCAAAGACTAGACGATCCCATCACAGCTTGAACAAAAAGAATGACTATCAACCACAACCGACATGCGCCCACAACCACGACTCAAAGAATTTAGAGTACGACTTGACTTCGCAGCAAAGGACCTCATTGAATCAGACCAATGACCATCTCGATGTTCAAGTATACGCACAGATCCGAGTAACAAGGCATCCCTTCCAAACACGAGTTTCACGCCATTCCCAGACGAGGCTGATCACAAAACAGTTCTCCACAAATGCAAACAAAACTGACATAGCAAAGCATTTTGGATTCTGAAATCTAAACGATTTCGTTAAGGATCAAAATCGTTGACAAACGACAAGAAGACAGTTTGATATCTCTAACTCCAGCGTTCTGGAACGTTTCTCTTGAAGAGAAATTATGTATAAAATTCTAGTCTCCTGGACCTCTCTTCTCCAGGGAACAAGAAAAAGAAAACGATGTTCGCCACATACCAGCGTTCATCATCCATCCTTCAGTTGCAGAATAAAAGAGATAAAACTCAAAAACTCTGTAAACCCCGGATGGGTGGAACCTGATCTAAGCTACGTTTTATTATTTATAAATTAGATATTTTACCAATGTAAAATATTTAATACTAACCAATCACAATCCATCCAACTAACTACCCACTTATTTGTAGGTGCTGAAATTACTTTTTATTTCAGCACCAGAGAGATTTGAATTTAACTTAGAAAATAGTTGCCTCTCCCGAGTACTTCAGCAGCCGCAATAATACCAGTATACTCTAGATCTATTGAGCCTAGCAGAGACTAGTAGTTATAAGAGTAAGATTAGGATCGGTATTAGACTAAGAAGTTGCACGAATCTATCCGGCCGAAAAAAAGATAGCGTGACGAGCAGACGGTGTACCCTATCCGAAATTAATCTATGAGATAAGCTTCCATACTTAACACAATTATCCAACTCTTCTTCATATCAGCCACTAGAAAAAAAATTGGAAAAAAAATGGAAAAAAAAAATCATTCAATGCGCGGCGCACAAATTAACAATTGTCAAAAGGAAACATACATCATTTCAATGTCGGTAAACAAAATAGGGCGAAGTGAGACGCTTCCAAATAGGGCCTGGAGCCGCCTAGAGCAACCGTTGAACACCCATCTCATAAGTTTCTAGATTCTTGAGTGCAGTGGAACTAAAGTATAGTGTTTTTGAGTTAGAACTTAGTTAACCGTAGTTTGGGCGGTGACTCATTACCAGAATTTTTGTTAAGGCACCATTCCAGATTATGACCGATCAAAAGGGGCTCTTGTCCTGCTTGTCAGAGGAGAAACACAAGAACAAGGCAAACGCGGCGGTGTGGTGGGTCGGTTGACAGATGTCGTTCCGTTGCAAAATCGACCATAATCCAGGGAAACACAAGGGTAGGTAATTTATTAACCTAGAACTGCTTTGGGGATGGCCTCTCAAATATCGGAGTTAGATATTACTATTGTTGTGGCACAAATTGACAGAATGAATAGGCTATTAAAACAGTCTGCTTGAATAGAACCGGAGATGAGGACAGAACAAATGACGTAATGTGCAAAACAAAATCGGAACAGGTACTACGTCATCGGAAAGAACGTGCAGCGAAGAAACTGATCGACGAGTTTAGAAACTGTCATTAGATCAAAGTTTAAACATGGAACCACTTTCATACAGAAGACTACAAAAACTGTAAAATGTTAAGCCTTTGGCAATGACAAAACACAAAGAAAAACAAACAAATTGGCCAAATGTAAGAGACCCGGGAGCTACATCCAATAAATGCTTATGGGACAATTGCTAATTGACAGCCAAGTGCTGACACACAAAATTTGTTCTCACAGAGACGCTCCTGACTATCCGTTTCGACTGGCCTTAATTACTTGATCTTAGTTCAAGGCCAGCATTACTGAGGCGGACGAGGTCCTTATTTGTATAGTGGGGGAGTTAGTTGACAAAAAGAGGATTCAAAATTTGGGCAATCACTTCAATCATTACTTTGATAAGTTCCGCGCGTCAAACGGGATTATAAATCTTGAAGACAGAATGGTTATGTCACCACAACTTAAGGGCCCCAATCATGATGCGGCCACATAAAGGACATGGAGTAATGCACAAGATGCTTGACGTGCCGAATCTCTATCTTTGGTGGCCACATTTGAAACACCAACATTAGTTAAGAGCTGCGAACAGCAATGATTGCGTTAAACTGGTCAAGAACTTAAAATAAGCTAATTTCGGAGTTGGTCTTATGCTGGAAGATCAAACAAATGAATAGCATTTTGGTTTTCTAGCATCATTACCGCCTGTTATGGGGCGCCAAGAAGTATTTGTTAAGTTTCCAAATTCACGACGATACAAATTTAAAAAAAATGTTACTATGACTATAAAATTTTCGAAAAATTATACTGCTTTATATGCTTTATTGGCAATGCGCACAAAACAAGGGGCGGGATTTATAGCAAAATCGTCACTAAATTTTTCGAAACTGATGAACTAAAAATTTATCGGAACAATTATTAATTGGCTGTTACTACCATGCCAGTTGACTTTGTGACTTTTTCAATCAGCAGTAATGCTACCGACCCAATCTGGGTCTACAACATTGACGTGAAATAAGCAGTTTCAAACCTTAAATTTTATCGCTTTAAATTAATTTATCATTTAAAAACGAGATTTTATGGTTTGAGAGACATGTGGATTCATTTTTAGCTAGACCACATTTTGATTGCAACCCGGGGATCCCCGCAACGCCCTTAACGTGAGATCAGGACACGTTTTAGCGTCTTCAACGAAAATAAACTGCCGCTAAGTGGAGCAACTCAACATTTTTTTCAGGTGAAGAAGGATAAGAAACTCAGAATCCCACAAACTGGACAAATTGTCTCCTTCTCGGGCTCGGCGGAAAATAGCGTGGTGAAAGTGGATACTGGACAGAGGTGACACCGTGGATATGGAGGGGAAAGCGTCGCACAAAAAAGAGGTTGAACTGACAATGGTTATTTGAGCAATTAAAGCGAAAGCTATGACATCAGCCAATACGCCAGGGGATTTTTCGGGCCAGATCCAGGGACTAGTAGCCCATCATGACACGACACCCCTTGGTGAACGACGACCGGTGAAGCTGTTCGGAGAGACGAAATTCAGTTGCAGAAGTCGCAAGCATCTGATACAATAACAACCGATGAAGAAAAAGGAATTACTTAAGAAGCAAATTCACCACTGCCATCAGATGAGTTGAAACAAAATCTGCCGTCAGCTATAGAAGAAGCTGTACCGGCAATTCAGGAAGTAGGATCGGGGCAGATGCTCATGAGAATTGCAGATATCAGCGGCAACTCTAGCTGTGCAATGGCCACAGACGATTTAGGCATAGCGGATGAAATGTCGGCGATCAATATGATGGAGCAGGATCATCGACAAACTCAGGAGGAACTAGAGAACCTCTGAGATATAAAAAGAATGACTGAAAAGATAGCCCGAGAGGGTAAAAGGGTCGCTAGTCTGGTTTGTTGAGCTTTTGAACTAATTTTCAAACTAGAACAAATTTAGTGCAGTAGATTTAGTTGAAGATGGAGTGTTATGGAGACTGTATGACTATTATGTAACTTATGTTAAAGGACATACTTACGCCAATAAAATAAAGTTACCAATGTCAACGAACTAGAGAGCGTTGCGGGAGCGTGTTGCCAGTAGCGAGTGTGAGCGTACGAAATTATAGCTGATTCTCTTGAGTCTTTTCTTTCCCTTACTTATGTTGTTACGAGTAGGTTAAAACTATTTTCACAACTATGTTGATATTTGAAAGGAAATTTTCTTTCTGACTCTGAATTAAATCATACAATCGGTATGCTTCGACCGTGCTCGACCCTGCTCGAGATAAGTTTCAACAGTGCTCCAAGTATGTTTTAACCGTGCTCGAGGTATGTTACGACCGTGCTCGAATAAAATTTCGATTTTTTGCTTGACCCAAAGCTCCCTGTCGCGTCTATTCGTTTTCGGTCGCAAACTGACAGTGCTTGACTTTGAAAGTAGAAACATAAAGTGAGCACCTCGATTCGGGAAGATGTTTTTTATGTGATATATCAATTGTAACCAAGCATTTGTTACAGATTGAGTGAACTCAAAAACAGAAATAACAGTTAGCATATCGCCGTTATTGTTTTTCAAACTTACCGTAAAGTAACTGATGTAACTGACTCAAGGGGTTGACTGATCCGCAGTGAAACGCTGAAGTTAATTTTTCCAGGCAATTGAAATTTGTGTAAATGTTAATGAACGGAAACTCGACATTTTTTTCAATTCATGAATAAACATTTGCGTTCAAAAAGCTTATTTCTGTAACAGTAGGTACATCTGACTTGTAGTTATTTTGATGGCAAGTGTTTAATTTTGTTTTTCTCTTTTTGAAAACCGTCGAAGAAAAAACGTTTTTTTCATTAGAGTCGTTTTGAAAGCACGTTTTGATAATCGACGACTATTCATGCAAAATTTCTTTTTTTGCTTGGTTTGGCTAAAATATACATATGCACCGTATCTACTAAGCGCAATAGTACCTATCTACTGCGGTAGTTTTACGAGCCACGTCACTTTTTTCTGATGTTAATTGTTTGCAATACTTTACTAGCTGTACAGAACGCTCCAAACAGTTGGTCGCATGTTTTTCGTACGGTTACTAACGACAGTGAGACGAAGTTACACTGAATGCAAAGATAATAGTCTCTAAACAGCGGGAAAAAAATTGAAATACAGCAAAATTCCAGTGTGAAGCTTCTTACAATTAATTGTTAATCAATAGCCCATGAACTTTCAAAAAAGTTTGTCGTAACTTATTTTGCTAACATTTTTCCCAATTTTGTTGCGATCAATCGCGTCTACCTTCAGAAATAATAAGAACCTGTAAACTTTTTTTGTTTTTCGTTGTCTTCTTTTCCTACTTTCGTTTAATTTGGTTTTGTATGCCTATTTTTTAGCAAAACCAAGATGGAATAATTTAGCATTTTACATTATAATTTTCGGAAATATCATTTTGAAGTAATTTTTAGGCTATATCGTCACCACTTTTTGGAAACAATTAAATTCCATGGTCTAGTAACACATTCTCATTTACTTGTTTGCAGATCTCTTGTTCCCCATTTCGATTAATCAAACTTGACCAAGGCTAACAACCGTTTTCAGCATGGCATCAAATTGCGTTTCTGCAGAAAGTGTACACGAATGATTCACAAAGAATAAACCCAAGGTTTCTACTGTGAAAATGTTGCGTTAAACAGTAGTAAGATGTCCTTCGTAGTTACTCTCGTATCTTCTAGCCCCAAAGTTTTTGCAGGGCTACAAGAGTGATCATCCCTCATTACGCGGCCAAACTGTACATTCTCTGCATTGTAGCTGAATCCGCAACAGGCCAGAATCAGATTTGTCGTGGGTCCGCAACATTGCTACTTTTTTTCGATCTTCTATGCTGTTTTGGATTCCAAAAACAAAAACCTAAATCATTGTACCGCTAAAACTGGCTCGAAAAATAGGCCAGTTTGCGGAATCCGCAACTGTATTTGCGGAATCCGGAACAGTTTGCGGAATCCACAAACAAATGATAAAAAATTTGTATCTTTAAGTTGAGCTGTTGCGGAATCCGCAACTTTAAGTGGAATCCGCCAATTGTAAGTGGAATCCGCAATTTGTTTGCGGATTCCCTTTACATATATTTATATAAGTAGTAGCCTTTAAACTTATATCTTTCAAACACATGATTTGATTTCACTAGAACAGAAATTTACTAGAATAGAAATTTACTAGAAAAGATCAGTGTTGGGGATTAATGGAATCCCAATTACTGATGAGCAGTATTTGGGATCAATGAAATCCCAAACACTGAACTAATTCGACGATTTGCTATGCGTTGGGTTTCTAATTACTCTCAACCTAATGACTCCAAATAATCGATATGTTCCATGTTTTTTTCCACATTATTCCAGTTTTTGGGATTCCATCAATCCCAAATACTGACCAAATTTTGGGATCGATGAAATCCCAAATAATGAAATAATTTGACGATTTTCTATGCGTTAGGTTTCTAATCACTCTCAACCTAATGACTCCAAATAATGGATAATTTCCATATTTATTCCACATTATTCCAGTTTTTGGGAGTTCATCAATCCCAAACACTGACAAGTATTAAGGATCGATGGAATCACAAGTACTGACCTATTTTGGCGATATGCTGTGTGTTGTGTTTCCATACACTCTGAACCCAATGACTACAATTACTGCATTTCTTCGCGTTCAAAACCAGTATTTGGGATTGACGCAATCCCAAATACTGAGCTAATTTGTCGATATGCTGTGTGTTCTACATACTCTCAACTTAATGACTCCAATTATTGAAATTGTTCGGTGTTGTGTTTCCAAAATACTTAAAGATGACATCCACCAATTTAGGCAACCAATGTTTTAAGAATTGTTCTTGGATTCCGCTGACAATGATTAAGTCTTTGCTTTTAACTTCCGCATTGCTAGAGATAAGAATTCTAGCTCAGCTTTTGATTGTTCATATGCAATTTCAGTATTGAAAAAAAATTGGGAATTCACTTACAGTTTGCGAAAACCACTTACAATTGCGGATTCCGCTTACATTTTGCGGAATTCACTTACAAATGCGGAATCCAGAACAACTAGCTATATTTGCTTGTTGCGGAATCCGCAACAAAACAAATGTGCCGACAAAAATTACGTTAAAGTATATGAATGCGGAATCTACTGAAAATTTGTTTGTGGAATCCACTTATAACTTGGAACAAATTTTGAGACTTGTCTCTGGAATCCAGGAACATACAGGCACAAAATTGTGCTCCTATCCAGTACACAGTGGCCACGTAAGGCTCTAAATTTTAATGGGGCTCAAGCACGTGAAAAAAAGCTGACTGTTATTTTCAAATTGATCAAAATTTGAAGCAACAAAAACTTTAATTCAAAAAAAAAACGGCTTGCCTAGCAGACATGAACAAAGCAGATCTGATTCTAGAGGCTAAAGAACTGCAGACATTTCTAGAGGAAGAAAAATATCAGAGGCTAGAGAAGGAACCATTCTGTAAAGGCAAATAGAATTACAAGAGTCTCGTTTACAACAAAAGAAGCTACAACATCAACAGGGAAACTATCACAAAATTGAAAATAGATGTAGAAACTTTCCAAAAAACAAACTGAAAAAATAATTGATAACTTACTAGGACAAAACCAAGAAGATTAGTCCCAACCTTTCAACAGTTCAATGACCAATTTCAGCATAAAATCATCCCTCGATTTGCAAAACAAACTCGATTTGGGCCACTAACCGCAAAACATTCACATTCATTGGCTGCTATGAAGGACGTTAAAAAATTGTTGACAAAGAAATTTATGGGACAAGCATTGAAACGCTTGTTATGCATGTGGGACATAAGTCTATTGATTGAAAACCAACCGGAAAGAAACCTTGTGAACAACCTCGTGAGGCTATTGAGAAATCCGTTTTAAAATTCAAGCCTCATAGAGTTTCAGTTTCAAAATAACTCCTGTGAAAAAAGTTTTTTTTTGGCAGAGATCAAAACAACACTGAAATAAACATTTTCAATAGTGTTCTGGAAAGTTTATGATTGCAAATCAGTGGTACATTTGCTTGGTCAAAAGTTGAGTGTGTGAGTACTAATCTAACCGCTACTAACATTTTTGACGACAAAGTGAACCCACATACCAGTGGCATTCAACTTCTAGTGGAAAACCTATTAGGCTATTTTTCTTGAAAGACAGTCTAAACATTTCCAATGCAGAAACTAAACCGCGGAAAATAAATTGCAAACTAAAGAACGTTGATGTTGTATATTTTTTGTGTATCCTGTAAAAAAATTTCAAAATTTAATATCTACCTCGTCAGTTTGAATGAGATTTTTGTCATGAAAGGCGTTTGGCGAACTGAATTCTTTTGCGTAGATTCCACATTGTGATGTAAGACTACATATGCTTTTGAGATAGGGGTCAAGATGTTGTCTTCTCATTTTTACATCGGGAAATTCTTTTGTACATGGACTATCTCCTTTTTCGAGTAAACTTGCAGTTAAATTTTGGTTAAATGTATTCGTCCTCGAGCTTCAGCTAAAAATGGGAGTGCCGAATCTTCTAGGTTTTCTTCATTTCGAATCGTTTTTGTTTTGTATCACTGTTAGCGTGTAATTTTCAATGTGTCCTATTGGTTGATTCCAGTTGTACAGACGTATTGGTTTGTTTGTGCAACAATTTTTTTTTCTAATTTTTCCTTTTATTGATACTGGTGACGTGGTTTCTGAGTCAGAAAAATATATTTGATCGTCAATTTAATGGTTTTTTTCATTGAGTATTTTAAATTGTGAAGTTCTTGTATTGCACTTGTTTCTGACTCTGAGACTGCGTTTCTTCGTTTTGAAAATCGTTTTCTAATAATTTGTTTTTACTTGTTAATAATTTTCTTTCTTAGTGTTTGTCTTTTTGTTCTTATGTATCGTATTGTTTGTCTGTGTGGTGTGGTTACGAGATCGTTTCTTTCGTCGTTAATTAAACAGTTGTGTAAAATGTTTTTTTTTGTTTCCTAATGTGTCTCTTGACATTAGGTTTAGAATGATGGATGCAATATAGTTGTTAGTGATTTCTACTGTCTTAAACTGTTAGTTCACACGACTTTTTGTGGTTAGCTTAACTTGGGCCGTATTTGTCGGGTTGGAGAGAAAAGCATATATCGATTCGTGAGAATGATTTCGAATGATTTTCTCGTGTATATTTCTAGTTAAGATAGACTTACATAATCTTACTTAGGGGCTGTGATTTTTGATCAACGGTTGGAGAATAGTAATTTGATTCACAAGGTTCAGATCTAATTAGAACGCAAGTAGTTCGTTAGATACTATTTTAAAACTTACTAGGCTAAAGTGTTTTAGCCTGGGTCATTTAAAAGGAAGGGGATCAAGTGAAGGATGAGTAACCGAAGTTCTTCACTGTTTATCCTAATTAGAATGGTTAGCTATTTGAAAAATTTCTGTTAATTCTGCGTCTTTAAAAAGGGGTTTGAGTGTGCCATTCTGCCAGATGACACAGCACAACCTTCCGGCGAAGTAAAAAAGAACGACTAAAGGCCTTATGAACGAAAAAGTGTTGGGAAGGAGGGTCAGAATATTCTAGAATTTTTATTTTTAAAATTTCGATTGAAGAGTGAATATTTCTGAGAAATAGAAAAAGACGGCCATTTTGACTAAAAAAGACGGGAAATGAGAACGACGCAAAATATTGTGAAGAACAGTCCTACAAGAGACAGAAAATTACGAAGCCTCTTATAGTGGCAATAACACACTATAAGAACCTTAGCGACGGATATTTGTGGAGAAAGAGGCTTCAGTGGGGGAAGA